CTATGTGGATGAGGAGTTGGGGGCTCGTGGTTGGTGGTTTCACAGTCTTTAAGAGCTTACCTGGCAGTCTTGAGCTCCCAAACTTTTCAGATTAGGCCATCTTTTTGAAATAGCTCTCATAATGAATGAAAGTCACAAACAGTTGAGTTGTTAAATATTTATGAAGACTTTTTTTTCTACCTCATCTCAGTTAAACTAGGATATGGTTTAAGAAAGGAAAAAAAAAAAAACCTGACAGGCAGGTTTTGCACCTGTGTCAGGAGCCTCTGAAATAGTTCTCTGCACAAAACCACCATCTGAGGGCCTTACCAGCACTCTGTTTTTCTGAGAGTTGTAGTACTGAAAGTGTTAGGAGATCCTGTGCTTAAACTATAAAGGTATTATGTGGGCACTGATCAGAACTACAGAATACTCTATGATGAGAGAAACAAGCCCATCAAGAAAATATGAGGACTCTCAGAATTACTGCTAATTTCCCCCTGTCAGGAGCATTGGTATAAAAAATGAGCCTCAAAAACTCAAAGAAGAAGAAGCTGCCGTGAAAATGAAAACAAATGGTATTAAAAGTCCAGAAATAGAAAYCAATCTCAGCAAGAGTAGGTGGGCCTTTCTGCCATTGCTCCCACGTTCAGAAGGCATCAATAATAACTTAGGTCGGTCTTAGGTATTTGTGATTGGTTCTCTCCTGTAACAGCAGATCAGTTCTGTTGATCAGATTAGATAATCCCACCCCAAAATGCCRTAATATTCAGCTCTTTTTTTGAAACACAGAGAAGTACATTTGAACCAAGTGAAAGAAATGCTATTTTCCACAGGCAATGGTAATGTAGGAATTCATTGCCACAGAAGGTCACAGAGTATAATGCCATTGATGGATCTTTATTTAATTGTTTATTTTAAGGATAACTCCATGACTGTTGCCAAAAATTGTAACTAGAGAGTCAAGAGGAAAAGTTCAACTGAATATCAAGCTTGGGGACATGAGAGGATGGTATGGCAGGGTCACGGAGGAATTTCTCTTCCCTCGTTTTCCTGCTCTGCACAACGCAACAGTTGGATGGGGACTTGCCTTCCTCTGTAGTCCTGCTTGTGGGCCTTCACGAGAAAGGAGGATGTTAGAGCAAATGGGACACTCTCTTAGGTGTCACCTTAGGTGTAATCCAGTCTCTGCTTTTCAAGCAATACACTTGAACACTACAAAACACCACCTTCTAAATGGCACAYGTTTGATGCTCGCCTATGGAAATGGGAAGCATCTCCTATGTAATTTGGGACTCCTGTTGTGYGAGGCTTGCCGTTCAGGTGGTCTCCCCATGCGGATGGATGCGTGCGACCATTTTGTGGCTTTGGGAATTTCTTCAGGAACTTAAGAAACTGCTGGAGCTTGAAATTTAATAAATGATGTCCAAAGACAGTATGTGATGGTTGGTTAAGCTGTAGTTTTTACCCTTGCTGCATAGTCAGAACTGTTTGWATGGCCATCCAGACAGGAAAAGGGCACTTGGCAGAGGCTATTGAAATGTGGCCAGTGACATAGCCCTTTGACAAATGAGGCTATAGGTGTAGTAGCAGGTACATTAGATGTGTGTGTTTATCTGTCTATTTTCTTAGTCAGAAGTTGAGATGCTCAAGAAGCTTGGTGAAGGGAGCAGGGTGTTATGGACAGGTGAGATGAGATGAGCATTAGCTGGGAATGTTTTTCCCTGCAGAGTCAGTTCTACAAGGATGTCTCCTTGGCTGTTGCTCTGGAGCTGATGCTAGTTTGGAGGTGCCAACTGTCTCCACACCGGCCATTAACCACAAGGCCATCTTGTCATAGAGCAGAGGGAGACAACTGCTCCCTGTGGTTACAAACATGGGCTTCTTCCACAGGTGCAGTAGGACCCTAGTAGTCTGTTTTGAAGAACAGTCCTGTTGCTCCAAGCGAGCAGCCATTCTGCTAGCACGGCAGCTCCTGCAAAACTGGGTCAATACCTCTGCTTTGGGACACTTGAAAAGTAGTCATCTCATCTCTAGCACAATATTTCCACAGTAGCTGCTGTTTTGTGATTTATTCCAACTTTAACTTTCTGTAAATGCTTAGCATATATTGATTGGAAGGGGCTATTATCCTGTTCCAACTTACTCTTTCTTGATACCTTGATCATTTAGCTAACAGCGTAGCATGACACTTTTCCAGGCTATTTATGTAGATGGCACTGGTTGTTGCTTTTTAATGAATAAGAACTTGAGAGAATGAAAGAGAGGAAATGGAAATGATTTTATCTCTGTGGAGGAATACATATCAAGACAATAATGTGCTCATTATTTAAAGTGAGGGGGGGGTTCATTTTTTTTTAATTTTCTTTTTAACTTTTGGCTCTTTTCTTTCARATTTGAAGGTAGCAATCTTCATCCCCGGAATTGCCTAGCAGACCCATACTCCAAGAGCAATACAGCAACACTTACTTTTAGTTAGAGGATTTCTGAGAGCTAAGGAGTCTCGGTTGCGCCTCTGTCCACTTAAATAGGTCCACAGACTCAAGCGAGCGTTTCCATKTAGCATGGCTAAGCCAGGGCGCCTTTCCCGCGTGCTTTAAGCAGTCACTAAGGATGGCTGGTTTCTAGGCAGGGCCGCCAAATTCTCAACATTATCTAAACTGAGGAGTGGAAAGTTATAATTTTCCAAAGGTTTTCATTACATTTCCTACTCTGCCTACTGTGCATTGTACATTATTAAAGAGTACTGCTCTGACATGCCCCCCAAAGAAGCAAATTAACATTTCTTCTGAACTCTGGTCTTTSGTGAAGAAGTAATAATGACTAAAGCAGCTCCAAAAGTTTCTCACATGAATCAGAATTTATTACTTGTAAAATTAATACCCACTACACTAGCTGATACTGTGCATAAACTGTCTTTTCATACTGTTGCCTGTAAGAGATGTTACAGTTGCATAGAGGACATGGAGGTGACATGTGAGCGGCTCRGATTGCGAGCTCTTTGCTTCTCTGTCTCATCATCATCTTTTCTCCGCTTTCTGTATCCTTTCCTTTTGTGTCTCCTAAAGCCATTTTTATTTACAGTACTTGGTTGCACTCCTAGAGACCGAGGAGGCAGAGGAAAGGTGMCCCCTTTCCTGTGCTTTGGGGCTGGTTCTCAGTCTTCTGAGTGCTACTGCTTTTGGGAAGTGCTCACCTGCCAGTGAGGRATGGGGGGAACTTCTTGCCCAAGGAGACATTGCTGCTGCTCAGCTCTTGTTTGTTTGTTTGGGTGCTTTTTTACAAATTTGCTTACTTGGCTCCTTTGTAGATCAGCAATGATTTAGTTTGTTTTTCCTTAAAAGTCTTAATTCTCTCTCTTGAGCTAAATCCTTGAGGTTTTAGAAACATACCAGTGTGCTGGCTAAGCTGTCCCATGGCTGGAAGGAGACTGAGCTCAATTTTACCAAAAACTTCAATTCTGATGCAAAGAACAGTTTAAGTCCTGTAACTAAAGTGAGGCCTTGAGAAAGGGATGGTCAGAGAAGGTTGAGCTGCCTCTATTGARGCTTTCACGAGGACTATGAGGCCCTATCAATGGCTTAAATGAGTTTTGGATTTAACTTCAAATTTGTATTTCTGACTTAGGTATTCTGTCTCTGAGAGGGCTAGAAATACTCGTCAGAAGGGAGTGTGATAGGACAGAACGGGGATTTGGTGAAGCTCATAGGAGCCGCCTTAACCTCTCCACGCAATTCTCCATCCAGGGATGGAGATCATGGATTTAATAGGGAGTCTGAGGATGGATCGTGTAATGAATTTGTAGGACTCTGCATAAGAGAAGTGTTCTGTAAATGTTTTTTCCCATAGAAATTTCTCTACTAAGGGAAGAGAAAGGAGGGGGAAAAAAAAAAAGTCACTTTGCCGCTTTAAAGAATTGTGAGAAATCCATCACGAAGGTAGATAATTAAAACCATATTAATAGATTTTTAGGTCTTGGTTTTCCCTCCGAGAGCAGGTGTCCCCGATTGCTCTTCCCCTTCCCTTTACCCTTCAAGCCGCGTCCTGACTCAGTTGCCAAAGCCCGACAAGCAGCAGCGCCCGCCCRCCTTTGAACTCGATCCCCGCGGCGGAGTTGCAAGGTTAAATAAATGGGGTGGGGTGTGCGTGTGCTTTTAAGCTGAGGGCTTTACAAAAGATTTAATTTTTTTTTTTTTTGCCATTTTTTTTTGCGCGTTCCCTCCCTCCCCCGCCGCGTTTTTAGGCGGCCGCGTCCCTCGCCGGGTCCCGGGCGCGGATGCGAGCGGAGCCGCTGCCGCGGCCTGCAGATAGGGGGAGGCGGCGGCCGCTTATTAGAGCGCAGCTCCCTCGCCCGCTGCTCCCTCCCCGCCGGCAGCGCTCGCCGCCCGCTCGCTCCCTCTCCTAGGTGATCCATTTCTAGGCAACGTGCCGGAGCCGCCGGCTCCCTGCGCATCCCCGCAGGCGCGGGGCTCGGGGGCAGCGCCTGCCCTGCTCCCGCTGCCGCCCGCCCGCCCGCGGCCGCCCCTGGGCCGTTGTGTGACTATTTTTTTAACCTTTTTTCTCCTTTTTTTTTTTTTTTTTTTTTTTTTTTTTTTTTTTTTTCCTTCCTTCTTCTTCCCCTCCAGTTGCGGACAGCGCTTCCCGAGCGCCGCGTGGATAGCGGGAAGGAGGGGCGGGGGAGGCATCTCCGCAGCACGATCCGCATTACCGCCAAGTTCACTTTGTGGGGTTTTTTTTTTTTTTTTTTTTTTTTTTTTTTCCCCTCCCCTGGCCTGCGGGGCGGCTTCTGCCGCGGGAGCCCCGCGGCCGCCTCGGGCCGCGCGAGCAGCGCGGAGCAGCGGCGCTGCCCTCCGCGGCTCCGGGAAGTTGCAGCAGCAGCAGGAGCCGGGAGCGAGCGGCTGGCGGCGCCGGCGGCAGGACGGGCATGGTGTGAGCGGCGGAGGCTGCCGCTGCCCGCCGCGCATCCATGGATTTGCCGCGGCCCGGGAGCGCCCCGAAGTGACGCCCGGGGCCCCGCGCTCGTCGCCCGCCGCCGCCATCGGGATTTACACGCTCAAACTGCGGCGCCTCAAACTCTGGGGCTTCTTCGTGCGCCGCCTTTGCCGCCGAGGGAGATAGCGGGCGGGCTGCCGCGGCCCAGGCTGGACGCGCCGAGGACATGGAAGTTTTCTCCCTCATCCTGCTCGTGTCCCTGTGCTGGGCTCGAACCTGGAGAGCGGCGGCTGCGGATTCAATCATTCACATCGGTAAGGGGCTGCCGCGGGCTGCCCGGCACTTTTGCGGCTTCTCCCTTGCAGCCTTCCCCCTCTCTTTGCAGCCTTTCTCCGCCTACCCCGCTCTTTATTTTTGTGCAGTCCCTTGGTTGCTTGTTTAGGTAAATGTATTTTTTGTTTGTTTGTTTATTCGTTTGGTTGCTTCCCTCCTGCGACCGCTGCCCGCGGGGGCCTTGGCTGTCCCCTTCCCTCCGGCTCTGGGTGCAGGTTCAGACCTTGAGGAGCAGCGCTGAGGGACACTGGGCCCGTTCCCCGCGCACCCCCACCTTACTCCAGCCTTCCTCCCTCCAGCCCGCCTTCCTCTTGCTCTTCCTCCTCCTTGGCGGAACAGGTGGTTTGGAAGGCAGGGGGGGTTGTCCGGGGGGGGCTTCCCCCCCCCCACCCCCGGGGGCTCCCCCCGCGCCGCTGCCGCTCGGGCGATGCCCAAGGAAAACGCTCCGGAGCGGCCAAACGGGATGCGGGGGGGTGCCCGGGCGCCGCCTGCGCCCGCCGCGCAGCCCCGCACCGTGTCCTCAGTGCCGGCGGCCCCCGGSTCGCCTTTTATACCCCACCCGCCCGGGAGCTGGTCCCTTTCCGCCTTTATTTGGATTTATTTCATTTCCCCTCCCCGTTGTGAGCTCTCGAAGGAGGCGGTTTGTGCCTGGCGATCTGCGCCGTGGGCGCCCCACGGGCTCGGGGGGGATCGAGACCGCAGCGGAGGCGAGGGCGCTCGGGCTCCCCCCGGGGGAGGTGGCGGTCCTGCCGTGTCCGTGTGTCCGTCCCGCGTGTCCGTGTGTCCGAGCCCCGCGCCCGTCGCCCCTTGGCGCTTCTGCAGCGCGGTTCCCCGCGAGGGGCATCCGCGTAGCGGGGGCTGCGCGAGCCCAGAAAATGCCCGAGTCGCGGCGGACGCTGCCGCTCGCGCGATTAATTTGTCCTGAGCGACAATTAGTGCTTTTGGCAGGGGGATTAGCAGCCGTTAGAGACTGCTTTACACTGCTGTGGAAAAGGCAAATTGATAATTGTGGCACGGAGCTTTCCACGCGTACGGCAGATCCGCTGAAAGCCAACGGCCTCCAGTGAGGGCTGGTGCCCTGGAGTAGGTACTGGTAGGTGCTGTGCCCCCCRGAGCAGGCCAGCTCCCCATTAAGCACCTGCCCCAGCAGCAGGCTAGGCTGCCAGACCCCGTGTGTTGGAAACCTCTTGGTTTGTGCTTCTCCCCCTCCATCCCCCCACTCTAAATGGGTTTACCGAGCCAACTACAAAAACAAAATGTGCAGTTTGGGGAGGACAGAATGCCAGGACAGGTAGTGTCAATGCCTGAAGTAACAACCAAAACAACCACTTGGTATTTTCCTAATGCAGATGTATTCAGGTGGCAAATGTTTCCCCATGTGCAAGAGGGGAGGATGGATGGACTTGAAGAGTAAAACATTCCCTGTAAAACAGATCCTTGTTTCCTGATGGGATCTGCTTTTTTTTGGTCTTCCTTACAGAGTATTTGAGGTGCTTTCTGCCAGGGGCTGCTGTTTCCTGTGCCAAAGGGGGTTATCAGCCATCCTGCCGGTGAGGACAGTGAAACCCTTAGAATGGGCAGTGGAGATGAACCTAGTGGCGCTGGCAGTGGGCGGCGAGCAGCAACTTGTGCTTGGATGTGCCCCACTTGTCCCCTTTTGTCCTCTTAAGGATTGTAGCTGCTGCTTCCTATGATTGGGGCAAGTCTCCGTGTGTGCATGTGTAGGTTATGTTGTGTGTGCCTATATAAATGTATGTATTGAAAATCGGTGTTTTCCTGTGTCTCTTACATTGAGTGTTGGTCGGGCTCCTCCCAGGCCCTCTGTGAGTGCTGGCCCCACGTTGTAAACGCGAGCGGGCGGCTGGGAACGACGGCGCCGAGTGCCCTCGTTGGAACACTGAAAGCAACGGGCTCCCCGGCYGTCCCCCGTGCGAAGGGGAAGGGGCCGCGTTGCTGCGTCCGAGCGGCGCAGCCCGGCGCTCCGCCGCTGCCCGGGCACTCACGGAGTAATTTCATCAGCCCCGCATTACTTGATTGCTTAGAAGTTCCCTAATGATCTGTATGCTGTAGGAAGGCTGGGAGAGCCGTGCGCGGAATGGCAATGATGCTGTGTTTTACGAGGCTATTCAAAAAGTCGCTCTGATTTATGTAGCTCGAAAGCGCCCAAGTCTTTGAGATTAGCCACGCTGCCGGGTGTTTTCTTCATCCATCAGTCGTCCCACACTCCTCACTCCCTAAGCAGGAGTTTAGAACAGGGCTTCAATTAAGCGGGGATTAACTGGCATTTCTTGTCAACTGTACAATTTGTATTTGCTTTGTATCTCCTGCAGTGGATGGTCTTGGGCTTTTATACRTTGTGCTCATTTTTCTCCTTGATGTGCATGCAATAATATAGCTGTATGTGCCTATGGATTTTCTAGTCTGCSTATGGAAGCATATATGCAAAGAACGTGCATATCAGATGCAGCAAAATCACCTGAGTCCGTTGTTATATGCTAAGGCACGAAAGTTTTTGCTGAAGATAAACTAAAAATTGTTTCAAGAAAAACTCCCCATGGCTTCATGCAACAGTACTTGATCATGGGAATCGCTGCAAGGAAATACAATCACTCCTTGAGGTTTGCCAGCGGCTTGAATCTCGTSTCCAGCTGTGTCTTGTCCTTCTTGAGCTTCTCTGTTTTTCTACTGGCAAGTTCACAAATACATATGTTTACATATAAATATATATATTTCTGAGAGAGAAAACTTAATGTTCTGTTTCCTTCTTGCACCTTGTAGGCTCTTTGGTTCTTGGTAGAACTGTCATGGTGTTTGTATGGGCAACCTCTTAGCCCTGCTGGGTTGTGAGCAAACTCATCTTCCAAAGCTCTTCTGGGTCGTGGATAATAATCCTGGGRCAGTTGTGCCGTAAAGTCTGGCACTTGCCTCTTCCATGAAGAWCTTAGTATCCTTCAGATATAAAAATCCTTCCCCAGGGAAGACTTGTCCAGCTTGCTGATAGCTGTGTTTCATCTGGAAAGCTGGGACTTTGCAAAGCTCACGGCTAGTGTTACCATGTGCCTCGATAGGAGGGATTTAGTTTGTGGCGCCACTGGTAAAGCCCTGTTAGCAGGTAGGTAATGTGCATCACCAAGTCGTTTTCCTCATGTTGATTTTGCAAAGCACTGGATACAGATAGAGGAACGTGTATGCGTATGCAGCACCCGCAGTGGCTGCAGATCACCCCAGAGCTCCATGATTTGGTGCTCGCGAAGGGGCCGGGCTCCTCTCGAGCGCCGCGGTGGGTGCCGGCGCCCCGTGCATTGGCTCAGCCGCTGCATTGGACTTGAGCAYGTGCCCTGCAGCACACGCTTCACGTTTCACCTGTGCACGTTGCTTYTGAAACTCTCTCCCCGGAGCTCAGAGCTGCACCACTGTTTCACAGCCCTGTAATGTAATGAGTTTTAGTGCTACTTGCTCTGCAGCTGAAGAGGGATAATTTTCCGTGCCGTAGATTACYTAGCACATGTTGTCCTCCCAAGACACGCTTGCCATTAGGTGTCACTGCTTTCTGGAGTGTTTCTTAGTGATCACCAGGGCCTGATCCAGAGGCTGGCATAATTTAGGTGAGTTGTTTTGTTGGCTTGGGAGAATTTTTAAATTGATGCTGTGGGTCGCTTACTTGAGCGAGCTCCTTTTCATGCCCCTAAAAAATTCTTAGCATTGTTTCTAGTTTTGTCCTTTGCAAAGTCAGACAAAAATAACCCTCCATCCTGCTCCGAGYGGCTTCCTTAGAGGGGCCCAACATGGTGATCGCCGTTCCCGCCATGCGCTTGGAGGCAGCCACTCACGGATGCGCGGAGCCTTTATGCTCCCGGTGCCATCTTTGGAAAAACACACTGGAGACAAATCTTTTAAGACTGTGACTGCCTRAACCTACCGCCTAAGGTTCATTTAACTTAATGAACAAAGGCATTAAGTATGGTTCTCTTCCACTCCCTGGCCCTGTGCAGCAAGTGGTATTGGCAGGAGAGGACTTGTGTAAGCCATTAGGTTGCTCCCTGGATATAGACTTGAACTTGCATCATTTTCTTCTGTGTGATATATAGCTATCTATAATCCACTGTGACAGTCTGCTTTTTTCCTGAAATGTATTGGGGACTTTGGCCTTCTGAGGTTTGTCTTCTCATTCTTTGTCACTGCTGCTCCCTTGCTTGACGTTATTTCTGTGTGCTGGGAAGGGTTTTAAAGTAGTTCATGCRAAGAAGTGGTGTTAGAATTATGATCTCTCAACCATCAGTTCTAATTATTTTCTGTAATAGTTTGAATTACATGTGGAAGGGTGGCACAGCTCCCTTTATCCACGCAGTTTGCGGTTGTATCTTCTGTTTCCAAATGCTGCTTTGCCATAGCCAGTTACCTGCCCATGTTGCTGTATGGGCCGTGGCTCCTGTTGTGCTTGTGCACCTCTTGCTGAGCCCCAAGTCATGTGCTTTGGGGTTCAAAAGCACCCGGGAACTGGTCAAGGCAGTTGCAGGCCACGAGTCAAAGTGTAACTTGCTGGTAACCCCTGCTGCAGGTGCTGGGGCCTGGGCTTTAAAGCTCCGGGTTCTCCTGTAGCCTCTTGCAACCCGGACTGACCTGCAGCCTTGCGATTAGCTTCCTGCTCGGCAGCTTGCGTACAGATGATATCTCTTTCCTTCTGTGGTTTTTTTTTTGATGGCTACCCAGGTGCTAAGTCTGTTGGCAACTAAAAGGTGAYCCGTTGCTGGTAGCAGCTGCCAGACCTGACTTACTCTGGCCTTATTTTGCACTCCTGTTGAGCGTGACTCTGCTGCCTGTGCAGTCTGGTCAACTGCATTGGAGAGGTGCGAGAAGGACCTGTAGGAAGGTGATCCTTGGCACCCAATAATATGTGCTAAGTACCTGGTAAAAATGTGGCAAGTGGTAAAAATGGGTGCTAAGTGTGGTATTGTGCTAGTTAAACCTTGCCAGGCAAGAA